CTAGCCGAGTGACCCGGGCAATGCCCCGGGTTTACCCGAAGGACCCGCAGGTGAGAAACTATAGAAGAAAAATTTTAACAAATCAGAAAATGAAATTGCAAACAACAGAACTACACTTCTTTAAGGACATGAGAGCACATGCACTGTATCACCATACGTGTACCATTTTCAAAGACCCTGCTTAGGATTAAAACTTCTCAGAAGCATAACAATAGTACCAACCTAGAGGTTAACTGGTGTGGATGCATTCCTCTGGGAGTAAGACTATTGAGAAATTCAGTAGGGAGTTATTTTGCTTCTCCGCATTCTAACACTCCAACTGTTAACACTGTGGAAACACTGACTCATGTTTGGTAAGCAATTTCAGGGAAGAAGCTATAGACATTGGATTAAATAAATTATTAATTAAATTGCATTAAATAAAAATTATTAGATTTAAATAAATATTATTAGAGTGAAAAAAAAAAGAAAGAAATTAACAAATTAGAAAATAAAATTTCGAAAAATACAACTATATTGCAGATAAGATAAGAGGACCTTATTAAAAAATACATAAACAAACTGTAATTCGACACTCGATAATTCGACACTTTCGATAATTCGACACTTTCGATAATTCGACCATTTTAAAAATCAAATTTACAAGGTTGATTGTTGTTTAAATACAACTTTGATTTTGCATGCATAAACACAGGCTCTTGTATCCAATATATCTTACCACCATAATTTTATGTCTATTAGACAAGAATTCTGAGCCAAATTTACATACTTTCAAGCCGGATACACACGGCGGCAAAGAGATTTGCTTATCACGTGTGAATCTTTCACTCTCAAAATATTTCCGAAACTTTCACCTTATATGTGTAGTTTTAATGCTCTTAATATTAGCTGGCATTGAACAAAACCCAGGCCCCAAGATGTCCAAACAAACGACGTTGGAAACAAGCTTAGATAGGGATAAAGATATCAAAGATCTGATAAATGCACTCACCAAAAGGCTGGATAGCTGGGGTGAGAGGCTGGAATCCCGTCTTTCGGCAATCGACGATAGAGTAGAAAATATAAACCAAAGACTGCAACAACTAGAGGAATCTTCTGCCGTTACAAAGGTAGCACTCTCTCAAAACTCCAAAAAAATAAAAGACTTAGAAGACCAGCTTGAATACTTGGATGCAAAGAGCAGAGAAAGGAACCTCATTTTTTATGGAATAGAACAAGATAATAACGAGGACTGCCGAGAACGGATACGGAAGGTTATCGAAGAAAATATGCAAACAAAGGAGAAGATAAACATCACGCGATGCCACCGATTATCCAGTAAACCCGGTGCACCGATCCTGATTGAAGTCCCAGAACAAAACGATAGATCAACTCTATTTAAAGCTGCTTTCAATTTAAGAGGAACTAAGATATCACTATCGAAAGACTATAGCATGAAGACGAGAGAACAACGGCGCGTTTTGAATGTCAAAAGAAAAGAACTCGTCGAAAGAGGCACTCTAGCTAAGCTAAGGGACAACAAATTAATAATTAATGACATAGCATATAAGGTCTGTGATGGACAAATTGTAGATGCCAATGGACATTCATTGTAGCAAGCAGTTAGGAAACAATCACTTGTAAATAGTCAACCCAACGATACCTTTTCACTGACCTGCTGGAACGTTAACGGGCTGTATAGACTCAATTCAGTTTTTCCTCTTCTTTATAGTCACTTAGAGAGATACGAAATATTTGCTTTGACCGAAACCTGGTGTGACCATCACTTAAAAAACGGCCCCAGAGGATTCCACTTATTCGAATCACTGGCAACTAGAAGCTCCAAACTGGGAAGATGCTCGGGTGGAATAATAGTAGGAATTAAAAATAAACTAAAAACTATGTTGGAGAAAGTCGTTGTAGAGCATAATTGGATATCTATACCTTTCAAGCGTTGTTTCAACATACAAATTTGTTATATATTTACATATATTTCTCCAAACGAATCTCAACTGTCAAACTTCATTACTTTATCCAAACATGTCGAAGATAGGTTGGCTAACGGCTATGAAATAGTTCTAGCGGGTGACATAAACATCCGTACCGGCACCTATGGATACCTACACAACCCACTAGAACGTCCCTTACTTCTTTCACCTGAACGCAAATCTAGAGACCCAGTGCTTTCCAAACATTGGGAACAACTCATAAACTTCCTAGATAATAATCTACTGACAATAATTAATGGCAGAACTATAAGTGACAAAACTGGAAACTGCACATTTATCTCAAGTCGTGGCTCATCTGTTGTCGATTATTTTATTGTCTCATATTCCCTGCTGGAGCACGTTGTTGACCTCAAAGTAGATAATAACCCATACTCGGACCACCTTCCACTAACAATAAACATGTCTAACTTATCTAATCTCAAACAAACGAAAGAAACCGTCTATCCCTGCTTTGAAAGATACAGATGGGCACCTGATAACACATCCCTCTTTTCGCAGAATCTTGACAACAATCAAGTCTCTACAGACCAGAATCTTGACAGCCTAGTTAATACATTTTCTAAACAAATACTAAACGCAATGCTTGCTGCAGATATGCGCATTAAGGTCAGACCTGGCCGCCCAAAATCGAAACCCTGGTATAGCAGGGAATGCTATTTAGCCAAAAAATCTGCTAAGGCAAGCCTCACAACCTTTAAGGAAACGAACACTGACGTAGACCGCAATATTTATGTCTCAAATAAGAAAAGGTACATGACCTTAATAAACTTCAACAAGAAAAAATATCTTCAGGAAAAACAAGAACTTCTTAAAAATGCCCGTGACTCCGCAAACTTTTGGAAAACTATAGCTACCTTGAAAGACAAAAGCTATATACAAGGAAATATAACAATTTTAGAGTGGCAATGCTTTTACAACAAACTGCTCTCTGCTGAAACGACGATAGGAAGCGACCTATCTACTCTCTCACGAATTGATCCTGAACTCTACTGTGAAATCTCCATAACAGAAATAACTAGAGAAATCTCCAGTCTGGCAAATGAAAAAGCTTGTGGCGCTGACGAAATTCCGAATGAAGCATTAAAGACCCTACCTTTCGAACACCTTGTTACTCTAAAAAATATATTCAACAGAATCATTAATTCTGGTTCATATCCCTTAATATGGTCTAAATCTATCATCCATCCTATTTTTAAAAGCGGTGATCGGGATAATCCATCAAACTACCGCGGAATTGCCCTTATTAGTAATCTGTCAAAACTTTTCACATCAATACTAAAATCGCGATTACGCAACTGGATTGAAGGTAGATCAATTATTCCAGAAAACCAGGCCGGATTCAGAAAAGGCTACTCCTGTCAAGATCACATATTCACACTGTTGTCCTTAATACAGCTGACTCTCAGACGTAAAAGAAGAAAACTCTATGCTTTTTTTGTGGACCTAAAAAAGGCTTTTGACACTGTTCCCCACTCACTTCTGTGGTCAAAATTGGGTGAATTAGGTCTGGATTTCCGCTTTGTTAACCTTATCAGGAACTACTTCGAACAAATGACAACGACGGTGAGATGGAATGGACTATTTACTGAACCCATCAAAATCCGATCGGGAGTGTTACAAGGAGAACCCTTATCACCCTATCTATTTATACTCTTTGTAACTGATTTAATCAACATTTTTAATGACTCTACTCTACCAGGCATATACCTCCCTAATTTTGGAACGGTCCACCTTTTGATGTATGCCGACGACATAATTCTCATAGGAGAATCAAAAATCAATCTACAAATAAAAATCAACATGTTGAAAAAATACTTCGAAACAAATCATCTAACCCTGAACGAATCAAAATCCAAGATAATGGTTTTCCGAAATGGTGGCCGCCCTGCAAAATCGGACAAATGGTTCTGGGGAGACCAACTGTTGACAGTGACATCGAAATATCTCTATCTTGGCTATCCCCTCACAACAACAATCTCGTTTAGTCAAGTGGCTTCATACTTTAAAGGCAAAGCGCTTGCAGCTACCGGCGAAGTATGGAAAATTATGGAAAAATCCAGGTTGAATTCATTTGGTTCATCAATGAAACTATTAGACTCGATTATCCTGTCAACTCTGCTGTATTCTGCTCCAATTTGGGCAAACGAAAAGTACAAAATCTTGGACCAAATTCAGAATAACTATCTCCGACGACTATTGAACTTGCCGAGTAACACACCAGGCTACATACTACGCATGGAAACCGGACGCTTCTCACTAGGAGTCACAGCAACCAAACTAATTCTAAAGTTCTGGTTAAGAATATTAAAAATGGAAAAATCCAGATTGCCCGCAATCTGTCTAGCCCAATTATGGGAAACGTCCACTCTGACGAATGCCTTTATAGGTTTTACAGAAAATTTAATGAATATCCTAAACTCAACTGGATTCATGTGGTTAAAGAATTGTTCAGACCCCAATATTCTACAGAAAGCAATACCTCAAATTATCAGAATCACTATAGAACAGTCTATCCAAACCGATCAATCAAGAATAACCAATTCGAAGCTACACACACACTACAAATATTTACATAAAACATTCGCAGCAGAGAACTATCTACTAAGTGAACTCCCACTGCCGGCTAAACGCCTCATTGCGCAATTGAGAATTCTATTTGTTTTATATCGAGAAGACCATATAAAATATCTAAGGACAGAAGACTTGTATTGCCAACTATGCAAAAATAGAACCGAAAATGAATTAGAACATTATATATTTGAATGCATGCCTCTTGACACGGAAAGAAAAATACTCTTCTCTAAGATAGGCCATACACACTTCACATTATATTCTTTATTATCCAACTTTATAGACAACTAGACGAATGACCCGGGCAACGCCCGGGTTTACCCGATTAAATGTTTTATTCAAACACTATTCGTTACAATTATAAATTGGCGCCGTGGATGTCACTCTTGTGAAACGTCCCGCTCCAAACTTTACAGTCAGATTAGTTACGATATAAATCTTCAAATCGAGCGAGCGTCTAATCGAACCCGGGCCGCCCGCGTGGCAGGCGAGCATTCTACCACTGAGCCACCGATGCGTATACAAAATGGCCATATTTGGGTATTCATTCCATTCCGGATTACTCCGCGTAAAAAAAGTTCTTCAAATGAAAAAAAAGAAATAGCCAAAAATACTAAGCAAATTGTATCCAAAAATTTTCCTCAGGTTTATAAAAAGCGACATGCAAAATTTGGTACCAATTGGTTCAGTAGTTTTTGAGTTTATCGCGAAACAGACAGACAGACAGAAATTAACTTTTATATATATATAGAGATTAGTGTTTAGGTATTTGATTTAATTCATATAGTTGATATAATAGTATATATTTATATTATATTTTTTATAAATTAGTTTTAAAAATTGTAAAAAAAAAAATGCATCGGCCGGGAATCGAACCCGGGCCGCCCGCGTGGCAGGCCTGCATTCTACCACTAAGCCACCGATGCGTTAAAAAAAATGGCCATATTTAGGTATTCATTCCATTCCGGATTATTCCGCGTAAAAAAATAGTTCTTCAAATTAAAAAAAGAAATAGCCAAAAATAATAAGCAAAATGTAGCCAAAAATTTTCCTCAGGTTTATAAAAAGCGACATGCAAAATTTGGAACCAATTGGTTCAGTAGTTTTCGAGTTTATCGCGAAACAGACAGACAGACAGGAATTGACTTTTATATATATAGAGATAGTTCAGTAGCTCTAAATCTATATAACTTCCATAAAAATGCTGTAAAAAAGAAAGACTTAACCGAACATTCAAACATACCAAAAATTTCTGTTTGATGAGAAAGACAGAACCAACATCCAATTATTTGTTTAGGCAGATACGATAACCCCCACACTGATAAAACGGTGTTTACCTTACAACCCTGAACACGCGGATTTTCCTGGGAAATCTCTTAAAGATTTCTTTAAAAATACATGGCCCACCTGTGCTGTGTGAGAGCTTAAATTGTCTTGTTCCATATGTAAATACCTGTTTTCTTTCCTCTCTTCGCTCTCCACTTCTCCCATCCATATTTCCAAAAATTTTTTTTTTCTTTTTTTGATTTTTTTTATTCTTCTTATTTTTTATTCTTTCTTATAATCTGTATATATTTACCAAATGTATATAATCTTTCTCCATTTTTTATTTCCCACTTTCATAGGTTTCTCCGTTTTGTAACCCCAAGGAGAATCCTCTGTAAGACCTGTGTGTCTTAATAAAGGCTTTTGTGTGTGTGTGTGTGTGTGTGGAAGCATCGTGGTCTTCTATATTTCCCAATATAAAGTAAAGGCAGTTTTTCACTTCCATCCATATTACAGCATACCAACACTGTAATTCTCTCTTTAGACTTCTTACCCCCTTCACATTTCTCACCTCTGATAGTCATTGTTTGATTAGGCAAAAGTTTATAAAATAACCCTGTTTCATCAGCATTGAAAATGTCCTGTGGGCTGTATTTAGCTAAAAGTGAAGGAATAATCCCACCTTTCCAAGTGGCTACACTATTGGCATCCACACTTCCAGCTTCTCCATGAAGGTGTTTAAAAGCAATATTCCTTCTGGCCTTAAACTTTTCTAGCCAGCCATTGCTAGCTTCAAAATTATCTTGACCCATTTTCAAGGCCAAGAGTATAGCCTTTTTCTTTCAAGATATTGCCATTTATGGCAAGTTTCATGGCATTTGTCTGCCTTATCCACCTAAACAGGGCTTCTTCAATCTCTGGGAATTCCCCGTCGCGATCACGTCTCAAGGTAGAGCTAAAATTAGATTTTAAAAAGGCAGATTTTATGGCGAATTTATTTTTAAAAATTGTGCTAATGTTGGACCGTGGAATATTTCTCTCTCTGGAAACTTGACTATGTGATTTTCCTTGTTCTATTTCTTCTATAATTTTCATTTTTTTCCACATAAGTGAGCTGGTGATACTGACTACGTTTCCAATTTTTTTTGGCAGAACCTGACATTCTTGCCCCACTCATTTATTCAAATTAACACAGAATATTGAATTAAAATGTTATCATAATCATTGTTGGATCATTTTATAAAGATTTATTTATTTAAAAAGAAATTATTTATAAATTTAAAAATACTTTAATATTTGAATGTTAAAAATAAAAATTATTATTAGTTAGCGCATGATGCCGAAATTCCAGCGTAAAAAAAAACAACAATAACATCCACGAAATTGCGCAATGGCACTGCAAAGTGAAACTTAAACTAACCAGAAACCAAAAGTACGCAGGCGCGATCCTATCGGCGCCCGCCGATGCCGATAGTCACCGCAGTAATACCGTTTAGCGGTAAAGTTGCATGTAAAATAACATTCAACTGTCGAAATTCGAATTTTAAAATGGTCGAACTATCGGAACTGTCGTATTATCAATACTGTCGAATTACGGTTTGTTATTTGATAGGCCGGAGGTCGGGACATCAGAACATGGTCGAATTATCGCAGAGTGTAAAATTGGGGTGCGTCAAATTAACGAGGTTATAATGTATATCATAAATATTTAATATTTTGATTTGTTATTAATATAAAATATTATTTTTATATCGCAGGATTTTATAAAAAGTTATTCAATAGACAAATCATTATTCTAACATAGAATACCATAAAAATATTGAAAAGAATATTTGATTTATTTAGGTTTTTAAAAGTGGGTAAATTTTACCCACCGCGACCTTTCAAGGATTAAAAGAGGGCGCTGCCGGGTTAAAGCATCAGACAGCCAGGGGAATCCTCATTATTATAGGACAAGTTGCGAAACCTTAGGTTTTATCATCATAAAATATTTTTGAATAAATATTTTTGCTTTAATAAAAAATACATGAAATACTAACCACTTGAAGGGAAAACCAGGTACAATGAAGACAGGGCTATTGTAAAATAAGCTAAGTAATGTGCCAGGTGGGAAAGAAGAGTATAGTTCCTTTCGAAAAAAGATTCCTAAATAAACACCGAGTGATTTTATAATTATTTGAATAATTTTTTTTTTTTTAAATGTATATCTATGTAGTGATGTACAGTTGTTGTATCTGTTGGATGAATGTAGTGTGGCATGTTGGTTTGCAGTCGTGGTGGCCACAATGATTAGAGTGGTTTCAGGCGTGGAATTGAGATTACACAAAAGGACGAGGCATATTAGATGTCACCACGGAGATGGCGAAAGAGTGAGTCCAGCCGACACCAGTCTAGGGGAGAACTGTCTAGAGACGTCTGCAAGTCTCGTCCCCAAGCCGACTAAAGGGGCTGTGTGGGGACCGACTGGAATGCCGCCGTCGAGACCAGAATGCAGACGGTCGTAAATTACCCGGAAGCTAGAGGGGCCCCAGATGTACATTCCTGGGGTGGTGTCCCTTTTTGGTCTTCCCATATGAATGTAGTTATCAAAAATCTTCAATAAAACACTAACTTTGAGAGACTTTCTGAGCAGGGCACAGGGCATACCCGACTTGTTTTTCGGACCTCTTTACTTCTTCTGGCATCGGCTGTCACTCACTCGAAATTTTATTTGTCACACTTTGGCAATTACATTATACAATACATGGAGACATAGATGTATTGGGATATATTACAACAGTTTATGCCCCGGTTGATGAAAATTAGGTTATGGTGATTATATATGAAATCATAAGATAATTAAAATTGGGGAAAATAATTTGTATACAAATTGGTTTAATATATTAAGGGGGTGTACAATCATAACATTGGGTATGTTATCCTTAATAATAATGATTAATAATAAAAAGAGAAATGTTAACAAATAATAATGTTAAACCCAACGTATAAAAATATATGAAAAAGGATTTTAAAAATGTAAATATATAACTGTAAATTTGGGTGAACATATACAGCATTGAATGTTGGAATTAATATTTGAAAGTGCATTGAATTATAGGGTCTAGATAGGTGGACATAGAATAGATTCTGGTACTGCGATGCAATGCGACGTTTTGGGATCGTAGGCATTGATCCATCTACAGTATGCTGAAGGTATTCGACATGGGCTGTCCTATCAGACGGATTTGGGAATAGGTGGTGGAAATTTGGGTCGAGAAAGTGTGGCAGAGAGAGAGAGTCGTTCTGTCGCATAAAAAAAAAAAAAATAAAATAACGATTTGGCCGCGGTAAGGCAGTGAAAGTGAGGTGATTGAATAATAATAAAAAATTGCCCGAATGTGAAAAAAAAAAAAGGGGCGTTGATGCTCGAACCGGGCCGTGAATGAAAGACAAAAAAAAAAAAAAAAAACTCATCTAACTAGCTGCTCAAGTTCGACTGTTGGGAAGGTTACAGCGAAGAAGCGTTTGTAGTTAAGATGGAATAAATGTGAGAAATCAATGTTTCAGCGGATAGTAACGACCTCTCTGAGAAGGTATGGGCTGTGATGCCATGAGAATTTGGAGGGTAATGGTGTCGATGCATCTTCTAAAATTTTAACTTAAAAATCTAAAAATAGAATTTAAAAATTGAAGTTGAGAAAAAAAATTCAAATTGAAAATTGTGTGTGATGAATGTTGGTACAATATTATAAAAAGTGAAAATGATTATAAACATTGAAGATTAAACATAAAAGTTATCATCTCGATTGTTCATATAAAAATAAAAAGACAAAAGTTAAAACAAAAAAAAAAAAACTCGAAATATAATTGAAATAAATAATTACTAAATATGCGAAATATTAAAAAGAGGTATAGTATTTGAAATGATTAAAGATAGAAAAGTAATGAAAAGAGAGTAACAATACTAATTAATTTTAAATAAGGAAATATATAGAACAGTTGGTGTTCAAGCCAAGACAATCTTTAAGTATACATGGATTGACATTGATGTAGAGGTTTCGGCGTGGTTGCTTGTCATGTGTGTGTGTGTGTTCTTATGCAATAGTGCTGTGGAATGGTTGAACAGTGGTACTATAGCTGCGGTTTTATTTTTCGCCAGTCGATCTGAGGCATGTAACTGCCATGGTAATGATGGGCCAGGTGAAGGTAGATGTGCCCGTCTGGTGGTTGGCAAAAAAAAAAGGAAGGCGATAAAGTAATACGACGGCATAG